TGCCGCGCGACAGCAAGGAGGCCGCATTCGCTTTACGAAAACAAATCAACAATTACGGCGCCTTCATCTGCGAACTCGGAGCCATTTTTTGAATCTGATGACCCAAACCTGGCCCCTATTGGGGTGTGGTAGCATTGCAAACATTACACATCCAGGCAAAACACATTGAAGCTATTCAAGAGGTTCGTTGGAGATTTCCAAAAGGCGCCCCTTCAAACTTGCCGTGCTCCGGAAAATACAGATGGCGTTCGTGCGTTTCAAAATCCCCTGAAAAAAAGAATATGCCAAAGGTAAAAGAAGAATATGCTGCGATTATAATGGCCATGGTTTACCTTGAATATTGCACTTTGTTGGATGATATGATAAAGTACAATTGGGAAACAAAAGTTTTCAACCCAAGACAACAGAGTGTGCATCGCATTTCCTTTGACTCCGACGAAATAGTGGCGCTGAAATCGTGGCTCACATACGCATGCAATTGTTGCATGCACGAACGGTTCTTGCAAGTGCATTTCAAAATGGCGCGTCATCGGCGGAAGGGCAAATCTTGAACAGGTTACTTGCATTGCGCATGCTCTTTACGCAGCGCCAACACCATCGCGCTACAATCAGCATCATATCTTCGTCATTCGTCCGTCGTCCGTTCGTCCGTTCTCTCTCTCTCTCTCTCTGTCTCTCTCCCTCCTTCCCGTTCTACCCTCCTCCAGGCTTGTGTTAGCCTCCCCCCAGCGCGCTTTATCCTCCAGGCTCGTTTTGCCCTCCTCCAGGCTCGTTCTGCCCTCCTCCAGGCTCGTTTCACCTTCCTCCAGACTCGTTTTACCATCTTCCGGTGTCGTTTAACCCTCATGCAGGCTCGTTCTACCATCCTCCAGGCTCGTTTTACCCTCCTCCAGGCTCGCTTTACCCCCTCCCCAGGCTCGTTTTACCCTCCTCCAGGCTCGTGCTACCCTCCTCCAGGCTTGTTTTACCCTCCTCCAGGCTCGTGTTGCCCTCCTCCAGGCTCGTTTTACCTTCTCCCAGGCTCGTTTTACCTTCTTTCAGGCGCGGTTTACCCTCCTCCAGCCTTGTTTTGACTCCCTCCTGGCTCGTTTTACCCTCCTCCAGGCTCGTGCCACCCTCTCCCCAGCGCGCTTTATCCCCCAGGCTCATTATACCCTCCTCCAGCCTCGTTTTACTCTTCTCCAGGCTCGTTTTACCTTCCTCCAGGCTCGCGCTGTCCTCCCCCCAGCGCGCTTTATCCTCCAGGCTCGTTATACCCTCCTCCAGCCTCGTTTTACTCTCCTCCAGGCTTGTTCTACCCCCCCCCCAGGCTCGTTTTACCTTCTTCCAGTCTCGGTTTACCTTCCAAGCTTGTTTTGACTTCCTCCAGGCTCGTTTTACCCTCCTCCAGGCTCGTGTGCCGTGCGCGGTTCACGTCGAGGTTCGAGCCTCGATCTCGAGGACGCTCCAACGACCCGCGCCTTCCCCCGTCAACGTCTGGGGGGAGGGGAGGGGGTGGGGGTTCGATCATGGCCCCCCTCCAAGGCTCCAAGAACTCACAGTGACGCCAAAGCTCCAAGAACTCACAGTGACGTGGCAAGCTCTTATCACCAAGGCTCCCAAGAGTGAAGTCTCGGGCAAGTTTCTGATTACTGTCTTTGCGTTCCCGTGCCGGCTTGTTCTAACACGATTGCTCTATCAGGAAAGGACATATTGGTTGGATTTCTACATATGCGATGATACATTTTCCCAATGAACGAAGACTTTGCTTGATTATTCACTTGATGCTTCGGTTGAGTTCCCAATATCAAAGGCGGGTTTGCATTCTGGACATGACGATAACCATGTATACTTGTCTTCGTTCTCTTGCATGACGTCTCCCGGTCTTGACGTTCCTCTTGGATGTGCGCAGGAGGTTATTTTGAGCCATCTCGAGATCTGTTCAGCCATCTTGGAGGCCGTCTTGGGCTCTCCGAGGCCCTCTTGGAACCATATTGGGGCATCTTGGACGCTCCAATCGTTCTGGCCCCCTCCCGTCCAGAACCAGGGTGGGGGCCGAGGCAAATTTCCCGGAACAGTTGTAACCGAAGCATATCGAAGCGAAGATTAGCACCGGACGGAATGCCCTCTTGGGAGAGGCTTCGAGGCCACTTAGTGCCCTATTGGGACGATATTGAAGGATTTTGCAGCACCGTGGAAGCTATCTTGGGCTATCTTGAACCATATTGGAGGCCATCTTGGGCTCTCCGAGGCCCTCTCGGGCTGCGGCGGGCGTACAGGGCTGAGATTATACCGTGTCGGCGCAGCAGTTCTTATACCGCTCGTTCCGTACCACTCTTTATACCAATCTTCCGTTCACGTACCGCTCGTTCCGTACCGTCTTCGGTGTAGCAGTTTGTTGGGCACTTGTTGCGTTGACTTTCTCCGTGAGGCATTCTTTACATTACTTACGTCTTCGATTTTAGAACGCAGTGGAGCTTAGTTTGCATACCGCCTATCGGCCATTGAATTTTGCATGGGCAACTCGACCAGGGGCGCGCCATCACAAAAATATGGTTCGTATTTGCGCGAGGCCAATATAATTCTTGACGCTCCGCGTACCCCCACCGGCCCATCCAGAAACGACGCCCAGGCGAGTTGATGTGTCAAGGGAAGCGTGGGAGCAAAGAGGGGGATGGCCGAACCGAGCGAAGGAGGGATGAGGAGAAGGGGAAGTCTGGGTGGACGGACGGATGAATGAGTGGGGGGAAGGACGATGAATAGGAGGAGGAAGAGGAGGGAGAAGGTGCCCAAGACCACTACAGCTCCAACATCGGCCGCTGGTGCTGCTGATGGTGGTGGTAGTGGTGTTGCCGACGTTGCTGCTGGCCCCCAAGACGGCCCAAGAGACGCTCTAGAGGGCTCCAAGACGGCCCAAGCGCGCTCCAAGAGAGCCCAAGACCGCCCAAGAGCGTTCGAATATGGCTTAAGATCGCTTCAAGACAACCCAAGAGTTCACCCTTGGAAACTTTAGACGCTTCGCGTATCCCCACCAGCCCGTCCAGAAACGACGCCCAGGCGAGTAGAGGGTGCTTTTTGGCGTGTTGGGTGCCTCGGGGGGGCATCTGTGGGCCGTTCGGGATCCTCTTTGGGGCCTCCTGGGGGCCTCTTGGGGCCTCTTGGGGCCATCTTGGGGCCTTTGGGGGCCTCCTGGGCGCTTCTTGGGGCCATCTTTGCCCCTTGGGTGCCTCTGGGTGGTCTCTTGGGGCCTCTTGGGAAGCTGTTTTGGGGGGCTTGGGCTCCTTTTGGACCCGTCTGGGCGCCCTTGAAGGCCCTGCTGGGGCGCTCTTGGGGCAATTTTGGAGGACATCGGCCAAGGAAGCGGGGCTCCCTAGTTACAGCCCCCCCAGGAACTCCAAAAATCGTTTCCTGGACCCCTCTTGGATCGCTTTTGGAGCGCTCGTGGCCGCTCTCGGAGCCATCCTGAGGCTCTCTTGGGCCCCTCTTGGAGCTATCTTGAGCCATCTTGGAGCCATCTTGACGCGTCGGATGTGCATCGCAAGCGAAAAAGTGAGAACACCAAAAACATTGATTTCCCCCAGGGTTTTGAAGCATTTCTGGCCTCTTGGATGCATCCTAATGATGCTCTTGTGGGCACTTGGAACCGTATTGGGGAGTTCTTGGAGCGTCTTGGAACATCATGGGGACCATACTGAGGCATCTTGCGCTATCTTGAGCCATCTTGGAGGTCATCTTGAGTTCTCTGAGGCCCTCTTGGAGCCGTGCTGGGCCGTTTTGGACGCTCTAACTACCCGCGGCCCCCCCCTGTCCGGGTCAGTGGGGAGGGGGGAAGGGGGAGGGGTAAACCCCTCCCCGAAGGGGAAGAAGGAGGGGGGGAAGAGGAAACGCTCTAAACCACCGACGCCCAGAGGGTTGGTGGGATTCTTCGCGTGTCCCCACCAGCCTATTCGGAGACGCTGCCCATGAGAGCTGCCGATGTCGACGACGACGACGATGACGATGATGATGGTGATGATGGTGACGATGGCGATTACGATGAGGACGATGATGACGATGATTACGATGATGACGATGGCGATGACGATGCCGATGACGATGACAATGACGATGGCGATGGCGATGGCGATGACGATGATGAGGGTGAGGATGAGGATGAGGATGAGGTTGCCAGTGCTGCTGTTGGTGTTCTTGCTGTTGTTGGTGATTATGCTGTTGGTGTTGCTGCTGGTGCTGGTGTTGCTGCTCGTGCTGCTGCTGCTGCTCGTGTTGCTCCTGCTGGCTATGATGAGGGTAGTGCTGGTGCTGGTGTTGGTGGTGCTGGTGCTGCTGCTGGTGTTGCTGCTGCTGCTGCTTGTGCTGCTCGTGTTGCTGGCGCTGCTGGTGCCAGTGTTGGTGCTGCTGGCTCAGTGCTGCCAGTGCTGCCGGTGCTGCCGGTGCTGCCAGTGCTGCTGGTGCTGATGCTGGTGCTACTGCTGGTGCTGCTGAAGACCAAGGCTCCCAGTACGAATGACGACATGGACAGCTTTATTGCCAGCCCCCCAAGAGCTCACAGTGACGTGACACGCTCTTTACAACAAGGCCTCCAAGCGTGAACGGTGCCATGAACCGTCTCCGGCAAGCTTCTTATACCGCTCGTTCCGTACCGCTCGTTCCGTACCGTCTCGGTGCAGCAGGTCTTATACCGCTCGTTCCGTACCACTCGTTAGACCGATCTTCCGTTCACGTGCCGCTCGTTCTGTACCGTCTTCGGTGTAGCAGTTTGTTGGACACTTGTTGCATTGACACCATTGAATTTTGCATGACAACTCGATCAGGGGCGCGTCATCACAAGAATATGGTTTGTATTTCCGCGAGGTCACTCTAATTCCTTACGCTTCGCGTATCCCCATCTCTTGGGCAGTTCCGCGGGCTCTCCCCGCCGCCCGCCCTTCTGTTCAGTCGGGCACGTCCCGCTACAGAAGGGATATCCGTAAGGGCTTCGCCCCCATGCCGCCGGCCCCCCTCCTGCAAAAGTCGGAGAGGAGCTCCGGCAAGGCGGTGACCAACTACTTGGACCACAGCAAGCCGAGCTTGGACAGCCTCGCAGACATGGTGTTCGGCAGCATGCGGCAGGAAGGGTCCGAGGCCGCGATCCTCGTGTGCGACGAGATCGTCGTGTTGAGGGCGGTCGTCTGGGACTTGGCTCTCAAGAGCTACGTCGGCTGCGCGAAGAATGGCAAGTTTCTGCTCAGCGCGGAGGAGTACAAGACGACGCAGTTCAAGCAGGACGACTTGGCCCGCCTCGCGAAGTTCACCGCAGTTTTGCCCCTCGGCACTGGGGGCATCAGGGTATTGAGCACGCGCCCTGGCAAGGCGACTGGAGCGGACGAGATGGCATTCAACGCGGCGAACCTGCAGCGCGCCAAGGAGGCCGCGCAGCGCCATGGCGTGACCCTCCTCGGCGGCTGCAACGACGGCATCGCGAAAGAGAAGGAGTGGTGGCGCCAGCACTTGTTGCGTCGCTCGCCGCTGCGGAGGCGGGTGGTTTCCTGGTGGGCTTAGATGTGAAGCGCCAGTCAAAGTGCGGCCGCGGGTCGATGTCATCTGGCCGCACCGCGTCGCCTTCAGGCGGATGGTTGATCTCTTCGATTCGGACCTTTCTCCTGGTTGGCGCCCGGATGGATTGCGCGCGCGTCGTCGACGTCTTCTCGGACATCAGGGCGCAGATGCTGTACAGGGCCTTGCCCCACTTCTCGGCGCTCCTCGGCAGCGGAGTGCCCGTCGCGGAGATCCTCGGCACGTCGCTCTACACGCGCGCCATCATGTGGATCGAGGTCGGAGTGTTGAGCCAGGTGGGCACGTTCTCTCGGAGGGACCGCATCCGCCTCGTCATCTCGGGCACCATCTTGGCGACGTCGTTCCACAACGCCAGGACGACCAACATCAATTTTTTCGGCGACGGCTTGCCAGCCTCGCTTGCGATGTGCAGCGAACTCATGAAGAGGCCACACCGCTGGGGGAGCATGTACATGGAATACTTGTTCGGACCCCGTCGGACAACTTGACGTTGCTCATGCTCCGCCAATTGGCGCGCCGCACCCAGAAGCTGCAAGAGATTTGCTGCGCCAGCGGCTTCAAGATGGGGGCGATGTCGCGGACTGACGCGCACATGTCTTACGGGGGGGCCCTGTCCGCCAAGTCCGGCGATTACCTCGCCGATCCCGGCGTGACTGACGACGAGTACATGGGGCTCTTCCACGAGGCAGTGGCCGCGATCCGCCCCGTGCTCCTGAGGCTCGGGTGGGCCGAGGCAGAGATGTCCCCGTTGTGCAGGGAGTTCGGCTCGATGCGCGAGCTCGGGAGTTCGGGTGCCACTGCCCCGCCTTTGTCCCGGGTCGCGCCCGCCCAGGCCCTGGACTGGCGCGCCGGCCCCCCACCCGCCACGGCAGGGCGGGGCGCGCGCTCCAGCTCAGCACCTGGCGCAGGCTCGGCTGGGGCCGTCGGCGGCGCATTGTCATTCGGCCCCAAGGAAAACTGCGGAAACCATGACGGCCACCAAGAAGGACGACGATTGGACGCACATCCACGAGCATTGCAAGACTACCGATGACCCCGAGGGCTTCGAGGCTCTTTCGGCCCAGGAGCAGCGACTCCGAGTTGCGGCGTCGACCATCCAGGCGGCGGCGGGCGACCTCGTCGAGCCAGCGGAGGAGCGGATCGAGAAGACGCTTTCGGTTGATTCTGCCAGCGCCCAGGCCGATTCCCGCGGGGACCAGGGCAATGGCGTCGTCGGCGAGCTCGGCGCGGGTTCTGGGGGCGAGGACGAGGGGAGCGATTATTACAGTGGGCGGACAAAATATCGCAAGTTAAATGATCGTTCCGAGAAACAAGATGACAATTTTGATCGTATTCCATCGATATCCGAGGAGCTCCCCTTCCCCCGTATTTCAATGCTGACTTGCATTATTTTGTCCTCCCGGACTTGGGGTGCTCGCTCGATGCCAACATTGAAATTTAGGGGGCGGGGGGCGTTGTGTCGAGGTGGGGTCGCAATGTCGGCGCGGCCGTTCGCGGCCAGGAGCAATTTGCAACATTTCGTCGTCCCACCGATGGAAGCACAGACTTTTCTATGACTCGAAGAGCACGGCATCTAACAATCATGCACCTCGTCAGCCCCGGTTCCCAGCACTCGAAGTCCTCGTCGCCAGCGCTGCGCCGGGCGTACTCCAGCAAGAAGCGCTTCCCGGTTCTGGGGGGCAGCGACTCCTTCGGGGCGCAGGAGCGCAGCGCAGACCAAGTTCGACAATTCCATCGAGGCGCTGCCTTTTTCCGACTCGCTCGCCAGACATCAGCCCGTTTAATTGCGGCTTCTGGGGTTGCGTCAACCGCCGCCTCCGCAAGCAGCAGGAGGCCCTCGTGCTCGCCTGGTAAGAGGAAAGCCAGGGCCCATTTCGCGGCGCGCCTCAGGCGGGCTCTCCAGCGCGTGCCCGAGGCCATCTTGACTCCTCTGGTGAAGTCCATGGGCCGGCGCTGCAAGGCCCTCCAGCGCGTAAAGGGGAAGGACTTCGAGGAGCGATGCCCTGCGCGCCCCGCGCGGCTGCCGACGCCGCGAACACGCGGCCTTCCGCTGGCGGCCCGCCGCCGAGGACACGGGGAACATGCGAAGTTCATGCCCAGTCGCCGCGGTGGGGCGCCGGGACTTCGGGCCAGCCGCCCACCAGCCGTATGAGTGTAATTTCTTGAGTTGTATTTTTCCCGACTGGCAGCCGATCTTGACGCGCGCTCGCAATGGCCTTCCCGGAGTAAACATCCTGTCGCAGGGCCCTTTTGCCCATCTAAGCGCTGGCGTGCTCAGCCGAGGCCTGTCGGCTCATCCGCGGTGGGCGCCCGACGGGCATGAGTTGGTGCGGAGTGACGTTGACCTCCTGTCAGCTATTTCCAGGCCGGCGCCAGGGCCGCGCTCGGGCTGCGCCTGGAGCGCGAGCGGCCGCCCCTGGGCCGCGCGGCGGACTTGCGCGGGCTCGGCGCGGCAGGCTCTGCCTGGGCGATGCTAGCGCGTGGCCTGCTCAGAGCAGCGGGCGGCGACAGGGCGGCCCCGCGCCCGCCGCGCTTGCATTTGCCTCATTTGAAAACTCCAGTGCTATTTGAATACCTATTTGAATACCTATTTGAATACCTATATGAAAACTGCAGTTATATGGGGATTTGCATTTGCTACGCGCGAATAGTAGAGTTAAACAGAATGTATTTTCTTTCTGTCTATTTTCAATTTTCAAATCGGTTCCCCCCCATATAACTGAGGTTTTCAAATAGGTATTCAAATAGGTATTCAAATAGGTATTCAAATAGTATTCCAATGTACTGGGAGTATTCAAATAGGCCAGATGCAGGCGCCGCGCGCGCCCCGCCACCCCGTCGTCGCCTGGCGCGCCCTGCCCCGCTGCGCGGCCGCGTGCCAGCACCGGGCGACGTTCGGCACAAAGCCTGGGCAGTGCCCAGCGCAGCCAAGGGTGCGCCTGGCGATGCGATCGCAGCGAGGGCCGCGCATGTCCTCGTCGCGGCCCACGATCGGCCTGGCGCGGGCCAGGCGCGACGCGGGCTCGGCGCTGCTCGCCGGGCGAAGGCGAAGCCCAATATATTGTTCTGTTTTGCTTGCTCAGCGGAGGCAGCCCAGCGCAGCCCAGCTCAGGTCTGCGCGGCCCAATCCACCCGAGCTCAATATATTGCAGTCCCGTCCAGGTCAGCCCTGCGCAGGTGCGCCCAGGTCAGCCCAACTCGAACCAGCTGGGTCCAGCTCAGACATCAGCGAGGCGTGAACCCTTCGGTCCAGTGGCGGCTCGGCCCGGCTCCGGCTCGCACCCTGTTCGAAGCTCGGCAGTCGACCTTCGACCGAACGTCGACCCTGTACCCTTGATCATCCTCGCCATCATCCTTCCCCCAGTTCTCCGAGTCCCCCGCCCTCCGCGTCAGCCTTCACCCTGCAGGGGGATGACAAACGCGATGGAAGCACAGACTTTTCTATGACTCGAAGTGCACGGCATCTAACAATCATGCACCTCGTCAGCCCCAGTTCCCAGCACTCGAAGTCCTTGTCGCCAGCGCTGCGCCGGGCGTACTCCAGCAAGAAGCGCTTCCCGGTTCTGGGGGGCAGCGACTCCTTCGGGGCGCAGGAGCGCAGCGCAGACCAAGTTCGACAATTCCATCGAGGCGCTGCCTTTTTCCGAGGCGCTCGCCAGACATCAGCCCGTTTAATTGCGGCTTCTGGGGTTGCGTCAACCGCCGCCTCCGCAAGCAGCAGGAGGCCCTCGTGCTCGCCTGGTAAGAGGAAAGCCAGGGCCCATTTCGCGGCGCGCCTCAGGCGGGCTCTCCAGCGCGTGCCCGAGGCCATCTTGACTCCTCTGGTGAAGTCCATGGGCCGGCGCTGCAAGGCCCTCCAGCGCGTAAAGGGGAAGGACTTCGAGGAGCGATGCCCTGCGCGCCCCGCGCGGCTGCCGACGCCGCGAACACGCGGCCTTCCGCTGGCGGCCCGCCGCCGAGGACACGGGGAACATGCGAAGTTCATGCCCAGTCGCCGCGGTGGGGCGCCGGGACTTCGGGCCAGCCGCCCACCAGCCGTATGAGTGTAATTTCTTGAGTTGTATTTTTCCCGACTGGCAGCCGATCTTGACGCGCGCTCGCAATGGCCTTCCCGGAGTAAACATCCTGTCGCAGGGCCCTTTTGCCCATCTAAGCGCTGGCGTGCTCAGCCGAGGCCTGTCGGCTCATCCGCGGTGGGCGCCCGACGGGCATGAGTTGGTGCGGAGTGACGTTGACCTCCTGTCGGCTATTTCCAGGCCGGCGCCAGGGCCGCGCTCGGGCTGCGCCTGGAGCGCGAGTGGCCGCCCCTGGGCCGCGCGGCGGACTTGCGCGGGCTCGGCGCGGCAGGCTCTGCCTGGGCGATGCTGGCGCGTGGCCTGCTCAGAGCAGCGGGCGGCGACAGGGCGGCCCCGCGCCCGCCGCGCTTGCATTTGCCTCATTTGAAAACTCCAGTGCTATTTGAATACCTATTTGAATACCTATTTGAATACCTATATGAAAACTGCAGTTATATGGGGATTTGCATTTGCTACGCGCGAATAGTAGAGTTAAAAAGAATGTATTTTCTTTCTTTCTATTTTCAAGTTTTAAATAGGTTCCCCCATATAAGTGAGGTTTTCAAATAGGTATTCAAATAAGTATTCAAATAGGTATTCAAATAGTATTCCAATGTACTGGGAGTATTCAATTAGGCCAGATGCAGGCGCCGCGCGCGCCCCGCCACCCCGTCGTCGCCTGGCGCGCCCTGCCCCGCTGCGCGGCCGCGTGCCAGCACCGGGCGACGTTCGGCACAAAGCCTGGGCAGTGCCCAGCGCAGCCAAGGGTGCGCCTGGCGATGCGAGCGCAGCGAGGGCCGCGCATGTCCTCGTCGCGGCCCACGATCGGCCTGGCGCGGGCCAGGCGCGACGCGGGCTCGGCGCTGCTCGCCGGGCGAAGGCGAAGCCCAATATATTGTTCTGTTTTGCTTGCGCAGCGGAGGCAGCCCAGCGCAGCCCAGCTCAGGTCTGCGCGGCCCAATCCACCCGAGCTCAATATATTGCAGTCCCGTCCAGGTCAGCCCTGCGCAGGTGCGCCCAGGTCAGCCCAACTCGAACCAGCTGGATCCAGCTCAGACATCAGCGAGGCGTGAACCCTTCGGTCCAGTGGCGGCTCGGCTCCGGCTCGCACCCTGGTCGGAGCTCGGCAGTCGACCTTCGACCGAACGTCGACCCTGTACCCTTGATCATCCTCGCCATCATCCTTCCCCCAGTTCTCCGAGTCCCCCGCCCTCCGCGTCAGCCTTCACCCTGCAGGGGAATGACAAACGCAATGGAAGCACAGACTTTTCTATGACTCGAAGAGCACGGCATCTAACAATCATGCACTTCGTCAGCCCCGGTTCCCAGCACTCGAA